GCTTCCGAGAACTTGACCGTGACTTCCTTCTCTTTAGTCACGTATCTTTACTTTATTTTATTAATAATCTTTTATTACTTTTATTCTTTCTTAGTTATCTTTCCTTGATCTCTTTTCTAATTTTAATGCATTGCTTTACTCAGCTCTTTCTTAATCTTTTCTGTTTAACTTTATTGTTTTATCTTTTAATATATTGAGAAATTGGTCGGGTTACGACAAATCGAGTAAATTCAGGTCTGGAGAGCAAGCTGTGGCCAGGCAATAGGACCAGCACGGCCTATCCATCTACCAGGAAACCGTTCATTTGATAACTATAATTGATAGCAATAATTTGAAAACAAGATCATATCAGACATATGTTTATATGAACTTTTTCTCTTATTTTTGTGTCCTGAATCCCCCATTGCAATACTTCCCACTTTTTAGGACACACCCTGTATATTTTATATCTAGTACAAACGCGCGCGCGCGCGCGCACACACACACACACACACACATACACACACAAAAATTTATATAAATAAATATTTGTTATAATTATTTAAAAAGTGTCAATTATTCCTGCGCCTCCTTTCCTTTTCTTACACGCAAACGCTTCGCGCTATCTCTCTCACATTCGTGCGGACCCTTGCGCTATCCTTTCCCCGCGGACCCCTCGCCTACCTGATGCGCCGCAGTCCCCCTCTTCCTCGCGGCCCCCTCGCCATCCGAACGCACCGCGTTCCCCCGCGTGACATCATCCCCCTCTCCGCGTGACGTGGTACTTCCGCGTCGGTGTCCCCCCGTCACNCCCCCCCTCAGAGGACTTGGATTATAACCGGCCTAGTATCACTACTGATTACATTTAGTAAGTGCTACATGCCTGTAAAATTTCATCAAAATCGTGTCAGGGTCAGCCAAAATTTAAATACGAGATAATATATTAGTTGCGCTTTGGTTTCACTGTAGCGGCAAACGAAGGAATATGTATATAATAATATTGCAATAATGTTTTATTACACCAAAATAAACTAATAAAGACTCTTATAAATATATCATGCGAAGGAGAGAAAAAACAATTAAGAGCCAGCGCGGTAATTTGAGCGCATGTTTTATTACAATCAAATTACATTTTAATCTAGTGATGATAAGCATAATCATTAAAAGCGTACGTTTCGGTCCTTTTTTTGGACCATCTTCAGCGCAATTACAAAGTAAATGAAATATATTATATTAAAAATGTAATAATAATAATATGCTGAACAAGAGTGAGTCACCCATACTGTCAGAAGGCAAATGTTATATAATGAACCTTCAAGATAGAGAGAAATTGTCCAATAAAATATACTACATTAAAAAAGCAATTAGTAATACTAATATACCGAACTTGAGTGAGTCACATATGTTGTACAGAAGTTAAATGTTACAAACAAAGAATGTTCGAGACACTTGCCAAGTCTTTTTATATCGCACGATATACATAAAGTAAATATGAATACAAAGGAATGTTTATAAATGACATTCAAAGTTTCGGCAATTTATCGATTACATCCGTATAAGTATAATATAAACATTCTGTGTCTGTCTGTAAATTAAGGCTATTTTTTGCCTTTTAATGTACACCATTTCAGAAATTAAGCGTTTCTTAGGCTAAGGTTCATTATCCAGAATCTCAACTCCATCCCAATCAAAATCGTGATCAAATTCCAATATGTGATCGGTTAAAACAAAATGATTTATCGCATTCCATCTAATATGTCATGAAGGGATATCACGGAGAGGACCAAGTAACTTGATACGTATCTCTTATTGCCTTAAATCCCTCTCATACTTCAGTCTGCGGCGAACATCTGTGCCAGTGTGGATGCTGGTAATCTGTCCACTAGAGGCCACTCCATAGCAACGATAGAAGATCGGATTATTAATTGGGAGCAGAAGAAGGGGCTGCTTAGGCGAAGTAGTTTAGGATGGGCAGTAGTATAGCAATGAGAGTTCTAACACAGGTCCGAGGCATGCACTTGGGAGAGAGAGAGATAGCGCGAAGCATGCACGCGGATGATACGGCGTTCGCAAGGCGGTGTGAGAGAAATAGCGCGAGGCATGCACGCGTGTAAGAAAAGAATAGCGTCCGCATTGGCGTGGGAAAAGGATGACGTTCGCATGCATGTGTATTTCTCTCTCTTAATTATTGCACAAAAAAATACTTTTTATATTCACCGTTTCTATGGTTCTTTTGTCTCCTTCTAACTGGAGTATCACGTCTCATCTACCTCATCATTTTTCTACATCTTTAGCAGAGTGTGTCGAGAGAAAGATTTCAGACTGTAAGACTGTACATATCTATTACACAGATTTTATTCATACATAAAGGATGGGTTAAATAATTAAATTCACAGATAAATAGTAAAATAACTTATTTATTACAAGCAACGTGAAGAATATCATTTACAGCACATGTCAACAACTCGCAATCTATGAGCGATTCGCCGTTAAACATATCACTTTCAAGTATCGCTTTTGCAGCGTCGCATACATTAGCGATATTATTCTGTTGTAAAACAGTTACAAATTTTTTGAATTTTTCATTAACAATATGCGTATTTTCGCATAGCCAGTAATACATATGATCTATGCATTTTTCAAAATCGAATAAATATAATAGAGTTGGCGGTTTCATATATAAAGAATTATTGGATAATCCTATTTTTATAATATTCGAATTAGATATTTTAACCACTTCGAATGTTAAATCTCGGACCCGCAATGGGATTTCAGTCGATTGTAGAAGCTGTTCAATGTCCCCACGTTTCTGCATCAGCGATTTCCATGTTTCAAAAGGCAATATTATTTGATTGCCCCGATTATCGCCGAGAACCAATTCCACGCAAGATACAGCTCCAACGTTTATTCCAATGTCCAAATATTTGTAGGACGTCGGGGTTAAGGCGTATCGTCTTCCGAGTATATGAACCGCACGACGAGGCTCGGATGAAATGCTAGGGAGTAAAAAAA